AAAGCGGTGGATGAGTGAATCGAGAGTAAAGGTCTCGCATCATAACACACATCTGATATGTCTATGTGTCATTCGACATGCTGTACATGACCTCCTCCCTAATGTGCATGTCCTTAACCTATCTTGTGCATCTATCTAATCGTCTCCCTATGAGGTCATGCTCCCTACACAAAGTCAAAAGGGATCAAACGTGATAGGGCAGCATAAAACTCTTATTCTAACCTATAATTCACACAAAAATATCTATTTCTGCTATTGAGCCCCCAAACTTAATGCAAGTGCTACTGTGAACTTATTTGAACTAGGCACATTATCAACAATTCTAATGTATGGATGAAGATACCTAAACTACTTTAAACCCACAGAAAATGAAAATTCTAACTAATGGATACAAAATGAATAAATAACATGAAAAAAATTAAATTGCCTTCCAACAAGTGCTTATTTATAGTCCTTGGCTCTACTTTGTTGTTTTGGTCATATATGGTGGCTTGAAAATAGAATTTTCATCCTTGCACCGGTTGTATTGGCAGTTATTCTTCAATTCATCATTGAGCCTCCAAATTACAAGATTTCCATTGTTTTCTCACCCCAACTATTCCCCTTTCATCCTTCTTGTTTTTGTGACTTCTCCAATGGTCTATCTTTTTGCACTCCTCAAAGTTCAGTAGTTGCTTAGGTGGAACATTCATGGTGAATTTTGTTATTTTTCTTTTCCCCTTATGATTATTTCCCCTTTTTCAAAATCCACTAATGCCCATGCAATTAATAAGGATGGTTCCCTAAAATTAACGGCATGTATTGAGACATAAGGATGATGAAATCAGCAGGAAAAAATTTTTCTCCAACTTTGATGAGCAGATCCTTCAACCCATTCCATAAGGACACTCAAGTGTCTTGTCGGCCAATCTGTAGGATTATTGATGTTACTTTTGAATTATCCAATCCTAATTTCCTACAGATAGACAGTGGTATCATATTAATACTTGCTCTAAAATCAATTAAAGCATTTAAATTTCATGAATTTTCAATAGATCAAAGTATATTGAAACTCCCTGAATCTTTTAGTTTAAGAGGAATCATCATTTTTATGATTGCACTGCATTCTACTTTCCTAATTCTATTCAATTTCTAATTCTACCTCAATTAGGGCTCAAATTTAGACCTAATGAGGGGTCTATAAATAGGATTATTTCATTCTTATTGGGGGATGCATTAGGGGTGCTTTGTTAAGGAAAATTAAATAGATTCAAACATAAGTTCTCAAGATTGATGGCTCAAATTTGGTATCTGAAGGTTGAACTTTATCAGTTTCTCGAGAGATCTATAATTATCAAGCAAGAGGTTGAAGATCCATTCTTAGTATTTGAGTGGTGAATATTAACAATAGCTTGTATTTTTTCTTAGTTCGTTGAACTCAGTGATGTTGAAAATCATTTATGTGTTTAATTCCATAATTATGAGGGGCTAGATAAATTGTTGTTAAAATGAGCAATATGGCTTGGGTTTAATATTTATATAATTCAAAAGATGTCATGCAACTTTGATTATATTTTTATTATTGTTTATTGTGTGTTTAATGCAATTCAATTGTTTATTGTGTGTGTGTGTATATATATATATATATATATATATATATTAATTTTTGGAATTTTGTCACTTGTACATTAATTTTTACCACCTTGTTGACAGGAAAATGTGTTAGCAAAAAAGTTGTCAAATAGAATGTACATTAACTTTTACCACCTCGTTGACAGAAAAATGTGTTAGCAAAAAATTATTGGATGAAAAATTATTGTCAAATAAAATGTACACCAAGTATGATCATAATTTTTAAAACATTCATCTTTTTCGTCTCCCGATCCCACCCTCCCCCACATATATATACAAAACAATCATGCTAGTGGTACATAATTTCTTGTACTTAAAGGTGTCCATCCTCTCACGTGGGTAGACCCCATAAGGGTGGTTATGGGGTCCACCCTCTCACATGGGTGGACGATTCATGTGAGAGGATGGACACCATTAGGTACAAGAAATTATGTATTTAACTATGTATCACTAGAATTATTCATGTACAGAAACACTCCCTAGTGCCATAGGCTCATAGCACAAGAAGACAATGAAGAGAGAAATATAGATACATATATAGAGAGAAACACAAATATAGATATAGAGAGATGAAGACAGAAGTACAGAACACCACAATCACAGTTTCTGAACTGAATCAATGGAAATCTCCAATTCCTTACATCTTTTGCGGTCTGGCTCTGATCATGTTGGGACTCGCAGGATTAGCATTGATAATTCGTTCTTGTTCATGCAGAGAATCATCCTCGGAATCATCGAATGAAAGAAACCTCACAAATCCATTGCACTCATTACAGCCTGAAATGGAGACAAGGGTTAAAGTTGTCATAATGGCTGGAGAAACCAAACCCACATTCCTAGCAATGCCTGTCCCCTCCATCTTAATATCGAAATCTCCTTCGAATTAATCAAGGATGGATTCTCGTAGTTTTCGGAGGTTCGAACTAGTTGTTCAAGTTAATTAAGTAAGAATTCTCGTGATTTCGAAAAAGTTTCAGACTTTCAGTTTCAAGTCAAAAGAGAAGCTGGAGTGGAGAGCCTGTCCTCGTGCTTTCCACCCTCACTCCCAAGGCTATACACCATTTTGCATTTTTGATTTAGGTGGAAAAAAAAAAATTGATATTCCTTACTGATTTGGTGACTTTTGTCAGTCTTATATGTGAACTAGCAGATTTTACATAATTTGTTTAAATTAATTTTGCGATTTTTTAATGAAGAAAATTGTAAAATGGATGAGCAAAATGGAAGGTTTTGTTGAAGTTCAATGCTAATCCATGAGTATATTATTGATCTGTATCAATAATATTTTATATTATATTGCGAGTATTTGATAAGTCTCGTCATTAATTTTATCTTCTAAAGGGATCGTTCATGGTGCAGCAAAAACCTCGTAAGATGAAACCTTTAACGAACAATACAAGATTCAAAAATTATCTTTAGAATCAATTCATTTAAAAATTGACATCTACGATGATCTATTTGTTATGTTAAGAAATATGTCTCTCCAAATGGTCTTACCGAGAAGCCTAGATGACGAGATTAACGTGAAATTCAGTGTAGATCTAACTTTATATTCACTCGTACGTAAGATCCAGCAAATTGAGGACCACCACGACTTTGCACATTCATTGCTTAATCATGTGATGTTGTTTTAATTCATGTGTTTGTTTACTTCGATTATGCGGGCATGGTTGTTTTTCTATAACTAGGACGATTATTTTAAACTTCTCTAAATTATATTATTATCTGACCAATTTAAAAATTGATTTATGAATTGTATTAGACTGAAAAGTAATAAATGTATTTTTCACTCATACAACAAATAACGTAAATTTCTATAGAGAACAAATAAATTCCACCATAATCAATTCAATAGCTAAGTTATATATGGTTATATTCAATTTTGTGAAATTCTCATAGAGATATAAAAAAAATTCATAATTGATAATAAATTCGACTCTACTCGAGAAAGATTGTCAACATCAATTATCCCAAGTAAAAGTCAAATCATACTTTTTGACATTTAAGTATTGAAAAAATTTATTATTTAGAAAATAAAATAAAATTTGAAAGCAGGAACCAAATAACTCTTTACTTTTTATATTTAAGACTCCAATCATGTTACATGGGCAAAACAAACCAAATATAAGGGTGCAATTGGTTTCCATTTTCATTTTCCATTTCCATTTTCAAAACGATTTTTAATTTTCCCCAAAAATGACCCGTTTTGAGCGTTTTGAGCGTTTTCGACATTTATAACTGAAAACGCTAAAAACGGTAAAAAGTCATTGTGCGTTTTCAATTATAAATTTTAAGTCGTTTTCGAAAACGACGGACCAAATGCGTTTTCTGCGTTTTCGAAAACAGAAAACGAAAAACGATCCGAAAACAACAAACCAATCGCGGCCTAAGCTTCTCCAACACGTTTTTACACCTCTTTTCAACCCTTTCCTTCTTAAATGTCCCAAATGTTTCATTTAACGACAAAGAATATCTCAACTTTTTGAATTTTTTTTTGAATTTTTTTCAAAGATATAATAACTAATTTAAGTATTGAAAAAATAAGAAGAATTTTTTGGAGTCCCTATTTGAGTTCCATTAAAAATGTATTTTGAAATAATAATTTTTTGGAGAATATGTAATTAAAAAATACGAAGAAATTTTGAATTTTCATGTAATATTATTTTATCAGAGAATGTATAACTTAAAAGATGAGAAAGAAAAATGCATCTAGAATGGAGCACAAACAGGGGCTGTCATAACATACATTCACTTCGGCTCTGTCCATGGGTGTAAATTGGAAATGGAGCGTTGGCGAGACGGCATAGAGGATAGGGCAACAGATTTCACTTCGACAATTTTAATAGTGAAAGCTCGTGAAATAATTCAAGAACCCATTCATTACCTATATGAATGGCCTTGCAGGCTAATCACATAGGAAAAAATATTTCCAGGATAAATCCTTCTGAAAGTTAACGCTAAAAATAGAGAAATTTACACACAGCTTCCATGCTACATATATCAACAAAGTACAAATTCAGATTAAAGATAGAGAGCTCATCGATCTGGGCAAGGGGTGGTTCATATTGGAAAAAGAAAACCGTTAGTACTGTAATGTCTCGGGAGATAAAGAAGATAACAAAGTGGCAAGGAAAACTCGAGATTCTATGAGAAATATTACGCCTTGAACTGGGTTGCGTAGGGATGAAATCCAGAGATTCTACATAGGAGCACCAAAAGCGACTTTCGCTTTTGCGTCCCTATAAATGCCGGTTTTACTTCTTGAATCCAATAATGAGTAGTTGCTTCTTCCTGGAAACTAGCTTCCAGAGCGGGTGGCTTGGTAAACTACCTTCATCATTTCATCTGTCGTAACAATGACATATCCTTTTACATCTTTGTCAAAAATAAGTAGAAAAACTCCAAATATTCCATTAAATGACTTGGTAAAATACTACATAAGGTCTCCATCCCATAACAATTTATTTATCGTAATCACTAATAAAATGACTAGAAAAGCTATTCAAGTCGCGTGTTTCCGAGTCTGGAATTATTCTCCAGCTTGACCCAAAATTACATGGACTAAGTTATTGAAAGGTCACCATGCTCATCTGAACACTTGACTCTAATTCCAGAACATTTTCAGCCTAGTACACAAACAAAATGCAGGAAGTTGTTGATAGATCAGCACCGAGCCTACGCTTCTCCTTAGGAATGCACCCTTTAGTTTAGGCTAGTTCCAGCCATCGAAGCCCAAAGCCTATGGATCATTCAAGACCATGCGCCGACTCTTTCTAGTTTGCATGGTCTAATAATTGATCCAAAAATTTCTACAATAAATTGAGTAGGTCCTAATAAGCTGCGACTAGAATCGCGAGAGAAGATACTGTGCTTCTATCAAACAGCAGTTGATGAGAATCAAGAGTAAACCACCACTAGCAATTTCCCATGCTTGCTTCACGAATGTCATTATAATTGAAACTAATCACATCACAAGGAAAAAGGGAAATCAAACAGATGCTCACCAACAACTCAATCCCGAGTGAAAAAGGTTTATATTAGGCATATATTTCTGGATAGTAGAATGAATAAAATTTTAGTTTCCTTTTCTTAATACCGGAAAATATGTTGTGCAGTCCACCAAACCAAACAAGCCATTCAAGTATAATCACTTCAATTCCATTTGGTAATAGCATAAGAGAAATTTATTCCAACAATAAATTCTTAGTACTTGCAATCTGAAATCAACATACATATACATGTATACCGACGAATTACCCTATTTCCTCTATGTGGAAGAAAGAAAACTAAGGAAACCGCAGATGTTGGCAAAATAACAATTATTGTTAACCAAGTAAAATGGTACAAAAACAAAAAGTTCGATATTATATCATCCCAAAAGGTAAAATATGCACCATAAATCCATATTCTTCACATTCCTACACATTTCAAAGCAAAAATTCTCTGTTGTTACTCACCTGAGAATCATCGACCAAGAGATGATCAACTCCATCACCACCCCAATCGGCTATCCCTCTGCCTCTTCTCATAATCTGCATCGTCTGTAGGCAATTCGTACCTACAAACAGGGCATGTATTCCTTATCTCAAGCCATGGCAAAATGCAGTCTCCATGATAAAGATGGAAGCAAGGCATTCTAGTTATCTTTTCTCCAGCTGCAACATCCTCCTTACAAACTGCACAAACAACAGAATCATTGTTCTTCTGAACTTCGTCAACTGTCAACACCACTGAAGGCAAATTCTCCACCACGGATTTTGACGCAGGAAGACCAATCTTTACAGCATTCTCATTCTCCACCCATTGTTCCATCGTCAAAGTATAATCATCTGGAAGATCAAAACGAGCAAATTCACGATCATTGTTATATTCTTCCTGGTTCTCGAAACCAAAATCACTATCCAAATTATTTGCTGTCATGAGCACTTCCCACTCGACATTTCTCTCTTCTTCTTCTGCGTCATCTTCTTCTAATTCGCCTTCTGCTACATCTAAGAATGAATTCTCGCCTTCTGGGGATGGAACATTTGAAGAAACCAAGACTCCCCCAATTCGATCAATCACGGAATCAAAATTCTCTCTCTCGTCAAATTGGTTTCTCTCACTGACCTCCTCCCACTCAAACTCTTCTCTTTGGTTTTCAATAATACGATATTCATTCACCCCAAAGCTCTCGTAATTGTCATCATCATTAACAATAAACCCAGAATTTACATCAAATTCACCGAAATCAGACTCCGCATTCGAACCCTCAACCCGAATCCCAAGCTCCAGCGGGATCGAATCCGAACCAAGTCCCGGACCGAACCCAAATTCCATCCTCGTATCCTCCGACAGACCTGAATCGAACTCCCGAATTGGGTCATCCAGAATTTGGGCTTCGCGGGACTCGAACAGATCGGTAACAAAATTCATCGGCTCGTCGTATCCTTCTCGACATAAACGGCAATTTCGGTCAGGTAAGGAATCCGAATACTCGCAAACCCAGCTATCGGGTTCTGCATTAAAATTGAAACCAAAATTGGAACTAGCGTTGTATTCATCCGGTATAAAGAAATAGGAATTCGAATTACTGTGTGGATCCAATGAATCGAAATCGAGCAAAAATGAGCTGTCTCGATTCAATTCATCTTCTTCGTGCTCCGTTTCTTGATAGGCCCTAGTAGTGGTGCTGGAATTGGGCCTCAAGGAGGTTTGTTGAGTTTGCGGCAGCTGTTCGCGGTGGCGTAAACGGTTGATATTGGAGAGCTCCTCCATTGGAGAAAGAAATTGAAGCAAGTTCTGTCAAGCACAGGGGATTTCATTTATATTTTTGATTTCCTTGCCTACAAAACTTCAACAAAACAGGTGGCGGAACGAGGAATTAATTGTTCCAATAGCCACTGAACTTATGTTCATGTCTTTAATTAATCACTAAAATTTAAAATGTCGAATTTTGATCGAAGAACTTAGATACATGTCTTCGATTGTTCACGAAGCTTAAAATGTCAAGTTTTGATCCCAGAACTTTGAAAAATATCATACGTTACTCACTAGCATAAATATTGAACTTTGAAAAATATCGTATTTTTAGTGAGTAAAGTACGATATTTTTTAAAATTCAGTGGTCAAAACTCGATATTTTAAATTACAGTAAGCAATCAAAGACATGAAATTAAGTTCAGTGATCAAAACTCGATATTTTAAATTTCAATGATCAATCAAAGATATGGACCTAAGTTCAGTGATCAATGAAACAATTAACTCCGAAATATGAGCATTATTTTAATTTTCACTTCTTCAAAATAAAATATGCCCAATCACTGACCGAATCTTTGAACTGCAAATGCTAAAAGATTATTTTGGATCAAACTTGAGTAATTATTAATTAATATATAGAGTCAATGACGGAAATACATTTTCAAACTACACTTGGCAATTTTTTTTATTAGAGAATGAGAAAAAGACATCATAAAACACTCAATTATGGTATGCCACATCATTCTGTTTTTGTCCTGTTTGTTCAACATGGATAATTTTACACGTATATTATGATATTCATAAGAGTGTCCATAATGTACATGTAAAATTTCATGATTGGAGAGTTGAAAAAATAATTTTTCAATTCTCCAAAAATGTTATGTCACTTGTATATTATGGACACTTTTATGGATACCATAATGTACAT